ATCAGTCAGAATCTCGATGTGGCAATAGAAAAAATAATGCTTCTTCCTTCATTTGTTTAAATTAAATAATTTTGCGAAGAAAGTTTGTAATGTAGGGCTCTATGAACGAGTTGTCAAGATCACTGTTTCAATATAAAAAAACATCAAACATTAGATTGTATGAGAAAGTCATGATTGTTTCACAAGGATGTGAACTTTGAAAGTTTTTGAGATATTTAGAATTACCAACAAATTCAATATAGTGTCGATAATATTTATTTTCAGTAACAACGACAGTAGTGGCAGTACAGTAGCAGTTTGAAATTATAAGTTGTTATTTATAAATCACTTAGCTTCGAACATGTTGTGATATATAGAAATATAAAAAATGTCAATATAGTGTCCATAATATTTGTTATTTTAGTTTTTCAAAGAAATGTTTATTTGTTAAAAGAAAACTCATGGCGACAGCTGGGTTCAAACCCCCGACTTCCAGCACGCAGGGCACACAACTACAGTATATGAACATAATTATATCATTATTAATTTCTTTAGATACGCGATTCCGTATAATATTCAATATAATCAAATTCTAAAAGTTTTTTTTTACTGCGATAATGAGCTTAAGTATTCACAGAAATGGTTAAAACATTATAACTTTTTACGATGTAAATAAACTAAATATAGTCAGAAGGAGCACATAAAAACTTTTCCAAAATAACCACAGTATGTAGCCAAATGAAAGACTTCGATGCTAAAAATGTTTAGGAAGAAAGTGGAATACAATACCAATACCAGTTGTATATAGTTTACATAATATATTTATGTTCCTAAATTAATATCGCAATCCCTGGGAAAACATTATAGGCATGGTGAATCGAAGATTCTCAAAACTTACTTTGTATGATTGGAAACGAATACGTAATCGGATCAACGAAATGTTGTGGTGTTACTTTTTGTGAATGAAAAAATAAAGTATTTTCGTGTCGCAACAGTTAAACTGATGCGGTATTACAACTGATCATTACAAAGAAAGTGGACCAATACTTTACTTTGAACTTACAGCATGCCCAAGGTCATTCATTATTAATACTATTAGTAATATCTTCCATAAAGACTTTGATGCATAAAATACTTCTGCATAATTAAAATATTTGTGATGAAGGTGGAAGGTTTGTACTGTTGTCCAACTGAGCAATCTTGCTTTTATAAAATATATCCGACTTTTAAACGTTTAATGATTTAACATGCTGTAATACATGGTTTAAAATTATTAAAAGTCTAAAGAGTATACAACTTAAATTCTTAATTGGAAAAAGATTGTCCCTCAGCAGTGACCGGGATTCGAATTGGGTGTTTTCTGGTGACAGCTGAAATGCTGTACATGAGACTTTAAGCTTTATTAGCTCCACCTGGCTCCACAAGGTGATTCCAGATACTATTATCATAACTGTAGTATGACACGGTATGACACATTGTGACGTGCCATGCCTGCCACGTTTTACTCCGTGCTTCACCAACTAGAACCCAAGTCCTTTTTTTCTGGTTAATTTAGCGATTTGAACATCTCTCTCAAAATTGGCCAACTGACCTTTACGAACACATAACTATAATGACTTCAAGTCAGGACATTTCTCCAAGAAGCCAGGCTGAGATAGTGAGTCAAGAAAGTACAGAATTCTGCCACAGATAGAAGAGACATTGAGTTTGCAAACCCACTGTTATTTTTGCCTGATCAACAAAATTAGGCAATTAGACAAGCTACTTTGTTAACATTAAGAAGACAAACTGCATTAACTGTATTAAAAACAAAGTCAGCAGGGCACAAATTTGGCAGAGCTGTCTGTGATGGTTGTTATCTCTCATCTAGAGGGTGCTCCAACCTTTCTTTTATTATTTATTTTCATTACGTGCACCTGTCCCTTGTTCCCCTCTTATTATTTAAGTCTGTTGTCTCCATGGTTCCGTGCTCAGCTTTGGAAGATGGACACCTGGAAGCCTGCCTACCACTGGGTCCAGGAGTGGCCCGAGGCCATAGGTTTCAGCATGGCGTCCTGACTCTGGGTCCGGGGCTCGGAGCGCCTAGCCCTATTATGCTTTTAATCCTCCATGTTCTTAGTTCCAGTTCCCTCTTCCCTGGTTTTTAACTGTTCATCTCGGATGGATCTTCTGGCTTTTTGGATTATGGAATGTGACTCGGCAACCCTATTGGACCTCCTTTGGACTCCTTCACCTGCGCTTCCCCGGATCACTTCAGTCACCGCCCCCTGTCTTTCATCCCAACCTTCCTCGCTGTGCCTTCCCTAACATCATTCTCCAGTCACTTCTGGATTATACCGCAAGCTGTTAAGCAAAGCAAGGCAAAAGCTCTTTCTTTCCAGTGTTAAGACACTTCCAGTACTGAGAAGCTGCTACGGAAGCCCAGCCAGCTTTTACCAGTGTGAAGTTTAAACTCAACAAGGACATCTGGACAATGGAGTATTACATTTAATTATTCACATCATTCTTAACAAAACTATTGTTGCAAAGGCACGTTTTTATATTTAGTTCAGTATTAAATGCATATTTACTTGTGTCTGAGAATATAAATGTGATTTATCTGGTAAAACCTTTCGAGCTAGACTGTGACACATTATGGCTGATGTGTATTTTCACTCTGAGGTTATTAACTCTGCACACTGTAATCTTGAGTGAACAATAAGCACTGATGTTCACAGTATATTGTTTCACAGATATATGTTCTTTTACTTTGTTGCTTGTTATGCATGTTTTTGTTACATCAATAACACCTGCATTTACTGGGACAATTGTTAATTGTAGCAGTAAGTCACAAAATGACTCTTTGATGACTATTAGAATCAACCTTGCGGGATAACTCAAACAAGGCACACGTTTACGCTTTTACTAATACACGAGAATACATTTATTAATGCATAAAATGTGCAGATAAACATAACAGATCTTATCGTGAGAGTTAGCAGAATACAAATCACGAAGAGTTACAAACCAAGAGGGACATACATTCAATATATCATTCATTTAGACCATTTCGTAAATGAACTTGGATTACAACCCTTCGCTCTAGATACTCAAAAGGAAGTATATCACTCATAGGAATTAAATTGATATCAACTGGGGTTGAGGTAACAATTTAATTCTCGAGCTGTAATGAAGAATGTTGAATACTCATCCAATCTCTGCGGATTCAGATCTCCCACGGATAGAAAGACAGTGGCAGGCTATTGCTGTGTCCAGGCAGTGCTGGTTCGGCGTGCGACGTGGGAGAGATTCCTGCTGCGATGCTGGCAGTGGGCTCTCTGAAGACCTGCTAGTTAGTTCTGGCTTACTAGCAGAGTTTGTGCACAGGAGAAGAGTGACTGCAGGTCCAAGCAGGTCACACTCTTTAGACAAGAAGAAGACCGGTTCATTCCTGATGTAGCGCTAGTTCTGAATACTTAGATTCAGCTGTCCACAGCTCCGACCATAGTTCACTTGTTGATCAGGTGAGCGTTTGCGGTGGGTTCACGAGGCTTGCTGCTGTGCTAACCTCGGGTGGATCCTTTGGTTACGCGTTGGCAACCTCCATTTTCGACTCTTAGAACAAAGGAAAGTTCTGACACTCGGACACACTGGCCGTTCATGATTGTCCGCGCTGAGTCGAGAATGTCCAGGAGGCACCCTGAGGAACTCTGTGCTGCCTGTTTTACCTGGAGAAACTACAGTTGTGCATTGGTTGAAAGTTCCGTGGGCATCCGAGACCCACGTGGGGTTAACCTGCCCCACCAGTTCCTGATTGGCTGAGGATGAGTAACAATGCATTCTTACCTTAGGGTTGTAAACAACTTGGGATGATACTCTCCCTTGCAATCTTCCCAGACAGTAAGGCGCCAGAGATGACCGTTTATTAGGGTTGCTGGAGAATCTCAGCTTTGGGAGTTGTTCCTTATCAGGACACTCTGTTGGCTAGAAAAAACACCTTAATTGTGAACCAAATGGAATGGCCTCTCTGTATCAAGCACCACTTGAGATGAGGGGGAGAGAGACTGGCAAGGGAGCAGCAAACGTATTCCTTTATTTTCATAAGCCTTGCCGCTATACTGTTCATTCTGACTAAACTGCTCTTACTAGTCGGTCAGTTGATGAACAGACACAAGTGTAATGGTCCTTTGTAATGCTGCCACAATTAATGCTGCAACAGAATTTCACCTTCTGTAAAGGGCTAGTTGGTTACATTTTAGGCAACACATCTGATTAAGAGCAGTTCTGAAACTCAGATAACTTCTACAGGTTTGATGGAAATTAATTAGTCAAATTCCCAATTGACTTCTTAAGTGTTTAAAGTAAATTTATAAGCATGCCCCAAATAGTAAACTGAAATTGATTAGCTTCCCATTAAGAACTCACATGGAGCAAAAAATAGAAAATACATAGAATAGAAAGTGTTGTACTGTTCTTACCTATCTATAGGTTTAACATTTTCAACATAGTAAGACTGTTTTTTTATTTGATGAGAAAAAGATGTTATATTTGGATTTCTCAATTTTCATCAGTCCTTTTCTGTAAAGTCCTTAGCACATTTCATAATTTCCTGTTATTTTTTCATAACAAAGACAAAAGTATTTTATCCTGCAGGAGTAATTATAGAACATCCTTTGTGGTGATCAATGCCTTTGCTGTCATGTGTTCTCTGTGTACTCTAAAATTTATTCACTTATATGGTGATAAAATAGAATGTGCAGTAACACTCAGTATCATGAAATGTTGTCTTTCTACAGTTCTTGACCCAGATTTGTTTCCTATTATTGTTTCTAGTTAAGAGTTGGCAATAAATAATGCCTTAAAAGCATTTCAATGTTCAAATCAAATCTGCAAAATGAAAAAAACACTATCTTATCTTTTGTACGTTGTGCTTTGTTTTGCATCTTATATTTTCTTTAAATTTTTACTTTTAGCTCAGAATGGCAGAAGATATGATCTGAAAATCATGCATTAACCTATGGTTATTTTTTTTTATGTTACAGGAAATTCCACTTTTCTAGATGACCATGGCCCACCAGTTCCAAGGGTAAAAGAATGATCTTTCCCTTTTCTAATCCTCTTTTCCCTGCCAAATATCTGCTACTGAAACTTTTTTGTGCAGCAGTAAGATAGCGTTAATAACTGAGAATCCAGGGTAACAGTTAACAGCCAAGCAAGTCATTTTATACATACTATACAGTCAAAACCATTAACAAACATTATTTTATATTTCTCTGATGTTCTCTGCTAATTAATAAATAAAACAGTTTAGATACTTATTTGTATTTTACATTTATTTTATTGTTTTATTTTACTTTGCTTATACAAAGATTTGGTTATAAAAGTGACAAATTCAACTATTTTTTCATGTTTAGGTGCCTTCCAGTGTAATTCATATATCATATACTCATATATTAAAGATCCATTTATTTATAACATAATTTACATGTAGGTAGGTAAGTAAGGGCCTGTTTTCAGGCCATAAAGGCCCATAGGGGAATGGGGGGCAAGGGCCACCATTTTTCTCAACCATCCAACACTGGAAGTGGAGTTGATATGGTCAGCATCACACTCCGGCTGGCCTATTACGCCCAGAAGGATTTACCCCTGGTAGTCATTTGGAAAGCATTCAAGTTCAAGTTCATTTGTCATTCCAGCCATATACAAGTATACAGAGGAGCAAGATATTGTTATTCAGGTCTACAGTGCAAATACAGACAAGGCACTGTAAAGACAATGCTATTAACAATGTAGATATAGACATTTCTGACAGGGTACAGGGTACATAAAGTGCAATGTGCATAGTGAAATTTACTTTACAGGATTGTGGACAGAACTGTGCAAAGAATACATCAGACAGTATGCCTGACATTAGTTTCCAGATTTGGAGTAGGTACAGTCGGTACCAGGAGCTTGTTGAGGAGCCTGACAGACTGTGGAAAAAAGCTGTTACGGAGTCTGGTGGAGCTGACCCGTATATTGCAATACCTTTTACCAGATGGTAGGAGGGCAAAGAGGTTGCAGGAGGGGTGGGAGGGATCGTCCTCAATAAAGGAGACTTTGTGTGTGCAGCATTTGTGGTATCGTGTCATTGGCAACCTTGATTATATAATTTGCAATTTTATTTAGCAGTAAAGTCACGAGTCATCAGCGTGAACAGCAGTGGGCTGAGTACACAGCCCTGGGGTGTTCTGGTGTTCAGTATGGTCGTACTAGAGATGTTGTTTCTGATTCTGTGTTCAGATCAGGCAACAAGGCAGCCATCAGGACTGCGAGGGCAAACCTGTCCCGTGTCATCAGGGAGGCAAAGCGCACCTACAAATGCAGCCATTCAAAATGCACGGTACAAACCTGTACGGCATGCAGTTATCACTCCGTTGTACTGCGGTATGTGATTGGCTGGCCAAAATGTCTGACAGGGCACTCGTGGTGCAAAGATGTAATCATTTAATCTCTTTACTGTACACGTTTTAATATTGTTTGTGAATGTTCGCACAGGGCACTCATGGTGCACTCGTGGTGGACAATTATATGGAATTCTACAACTAAAACGAAATTTTAGTAGCTGAGCATAAAAAGGAGCATAACATGTCTGATGGTCATAAACAATATTAATTTAGGAACATAAACATATTACGTAAACTGTATATGGTAGTTTAAATAAAAATACACACCAGTATTCCACTTTCTTGCTAAACATTTTAAGCATCTGTCAAAGAAAACTCAGTCTTCAATCAGGTTGGGAGATTGTCAAACAGAGATCTTTAATTTAATCAGCCGATGGGGAGTATATCACAGAGAAAGGGTTTCCCCTAGCACTCAAAACATGCTCCCTGTACTGAAGTTATATTTTCCTTTTTATACATTAAAAGTAGGCAAGACCTTAACATACAGGAACATACAGGGAAAGGGGCAGTGTCACAAGTCAAGCAAAACAGGACAGGAAGATGCCATTTGGCATCCTGCAATCTGTTTCATTTCTCTCTGGTTGAATGGGTGTGAAGAATCACAGGCTTTAGTTTGCAGAAAGACAGTGGTCTTAGGTGTGAACAGAAAACCTTAGAAGACCAGTTACTGTCTTGAGCTTTTAACTCGGTCTTCCACACATCAAAGTCTTATATGTGGTAATTTTGGAGAAAAAAAAAAGTGCTCCTTCTGACCATATTAAGTTTACATACTTTGTAAAAATTTGTAATGTTTAAACCTTTTCTGCGAATATGCTCGTCATCGCAGTAAACAAAAGCATACTTTTAGAATTTGATTAACAGAAAATATAATACGGAATTGCGTATCTATTGTTATTAAGAAATTAATAACAATATAATTATATTCATGTACTCTAGCTCAAATTATCACAGTATTACACTTTCTTTAGATATGTCTGCTTCAGTTTCACTCTTTCTCACATGATTACATCCGTGGAGTGATGGCTTAAGTGTGTAACTTAGATGCCTGAGGTTGGCCGTTCGAACCTAGCTGTCGCCATTAGTTTTCTATAAATAATTAAACATTTCTTTGAAAAACTAAAATAGCAAATATTATGAACACTATATTGACATTTTTTTAATTTCTTAATATCACATGTTCGAAGCTAAGTCATTTGTTAATAACGAATAATTTCAAGCTGCTACTACTGTCGTTGTTATTGATAATAAATATTATCAATACTATATTGAATTTGTTGGTAATTCTAAATATCACAAAACGTTCAAAGTTCACATCCTTGCGAAACAATCATGACGTTCTCATCCAATCGAAGGTTTGATGTTTTTTTTTTATTTTGAAACCGTTATCTTGACTCTGAAAACTCGTTCAGAGTGCCCTTTATTCACGGAATTCTTTAAATTAAACAAATAAAGAAGAAGGGTTATTTTTACAATTAGTACTCCAAGATTCTAAGTGATTTAGTTACCCTCACTCAGCCCCCCTACAACGTCGTAGGGGAACCGGACTGGTCTCAATCGTTAGTGCTGCATTTGTGCCGGTTTGTGCCGTTGAAAGTAGCATTTGTGCTGCTTTCGTTCCCGAGATATAATGCCTTGTTGACCATGCACGGTGACTTTGACCTCTAATAACACCATCTGCCGAGTTCAAGCACTCTGTTACCAGCGCAAGAGTAACAGTTTTGCAACTTTGTTCCTCTGTTTGCCCGGGTGGGGGGCGTCGGTGAATTTTGCATTTAATATCATTATCTTCTATGCGTTTGTGTGAACAGGAAAATTAAATTTGTCTCCAATATCATACCCGAATCAGAAGAGCTGTGGGTGTAGCCTTAAAAAGCGAACATTCACAATTATATGTTCTTTCAACGAGGCTTTAACGAACACATCTTAATACCTCGTAGTGGTGTCATATTAAAAAAATCGAATCTAAAGTAATCAGTTTCGCATTGTCTCCTTCTTTAAAAAACATAGACATCAAGGGTTGTGTGAAGATTAGACCTGTCTGTTGAGCCACATATTTAAAAAGACTGGAATTTGCAACTTTCTTAACCACTGTTGCTCTTTTTTTTGCAAAGCACATTTGCCAACGTGAAAAGGAACCAGGACTTCAGAGCCGTGCCAAGATCGTTTTCGAACTTCAAGCTAGCTTGATTGCGTTTGAAAACCGAAGAAAAAGATTACACTGAAAAAGTTACAAGAAGCTTGAAATTATTATTATTAAATTAATACTGTTAAGAATGACCAGAAACATGATTATTGTTTCAGTGGTATTTTTAATACTGCTTTGTTATTCTCAATTCTAATGACAATATATACGATTTCATTTTAGGCTTGAGGCGTCAGTTAAATTGCCCCACTGAATAAAGTGTTTTGAATTAAACCGGTTGAACAGCTGTTAAGCATACTATAGTTTTTGTTAACACAACACAGCGTTGTCAGTGAAAAAAATGACCGCAGGCACTTTTCCTCCCTCTCTACATTCTCAGAGTAGAATAGATGAACCTTCCAATGAAAGACAGTCCCCCTTCCCCCCACGGACAGACTGACAAATGTTTTCACAGCCTTCACTCAAATTACCCAGACTGTAAGCACGGAAATAAAGCTTTGTTTTATTTCTGAAACCCTTTCTTTATGTCCTGTTTTAATTCAGGTAAGGGTCAACTATATTCACAATACTGGTGACGGCAGGAAAATTCCTATTCTTTACTCAACAGCTTTTAAAAAACAGAATCCATGATGTTCAAACCGATTTTTTTACACAGAAAACTGACACAGCTTTCCATTGTAAATCTCTTTTTCTCATGGTTTTATTTAATGTGGGACTATGCACTGGGATGGGGGATGCTGTTTACGAGCCAATAGCATTTAAACCACAACACCCACAATGCTGCAACTAAGAGTTTTACGAACTCGGCAGGTCCTCTGACCTTTCCAAGCCTTGCTTTGGGTTGTGAAACTGTGTGAAACACATTTCGTACAGATACAGTGCAATCACATTATCCTGTCTTCCCGTGGTGTAAAACGAATTAGCAGGTGATTGAGTTAACAATACACCGCCCACTGAGTGGAATGTTGTTTTTTTCAAGTGTAAAAAGAGGTGATACGTGTCTCCTCTATATCTCTTCAGTTTACAGAGACCCTCATAACATTGTCCAATAATACTTTTCTTGTGTCTAATTATTAGTTTAGCAGGATTTGAGCAATAAGCACATTGTTTAATGGGGATGACATTACCCATGTCTGTTATCACTGTACAACACTAACTGCTTCAGGTGGATGGCTGCGTCAGCCTGCATAGTCAGCAAAGGAACAAGTTATTCCATGCTGAAGAGAAGAGAGAAAACACAGCAAAAACGCTGTGAAGCCTTATTCAGATGTGGGGGTCTTCAGCTCAAAATGAAACGCTTGGAGTGTGTAATGTAGGGCGCTCTGAACTAGTTAATCTTTGATGCTGGAAACATGTACTTCCCAGAAGCTATACTGATTCTCTCTGATGCAGTGCATCGGCTGGTCAGGTGACTGAGGGCTTGCCAGCGCGATGACGTCACTGCCTTTCATATGAATAAGAGGGACCTTTTTGTCAATGAAAAAATAAAGTATTTCC